GCTCTGTGGTACAGAGTCCTGATCACTCCTAACTTGTGTTCCAGTAGGTGGTGGGAGTCAAACTAAGAACCAAGGAGTGACTGTGATGGCGACAGTATTTATATGTGCAGGCGGAGCCTGACATCTGTCGTCATCACGTCACCTGCCTAAAGGCGTGATTAGAGGTGGCTTCAGCCAGGACACGCAGGGGCGTGGTTCCCATACATATGTTGTACCTCGTTCCTTTCCTTCAGGGAACAGTAGTTATATGCATAACATTACGGTTGCTTTGGCTTTATGTTTTGGGTCTTTGTCCATCTGTACTATGTAACATCAACCAATCAGTTTGGCTACATTTGGCTGGATCTGAGCACACAGTACGTCTCTGAATACCTCAGAATTCATTGGGCTGCTTCTGTCCTGTTTCACATCATCAATAAACACCAGTGACCCAGTGCCACTGGCAGCCATGCATGCCCAAGCCATCACACTGCTCTGCTGTGTTTTACAGATGATGTGGTGCTTTGGATCATGAGCTGTACCACGCCTTCACCATATGTTTTTCTTTCCATTATTCTGGTAGAGGTTGATCTTGGTTTCATCTGTCCATAAGTTATATGTCAGTAAGTATGTCAAAAAATAAAAATACTTGGTGACAGTGTCCAAATAGATATGTATCCAACTGTACTAAAAACAAATATGTAAAATGTTCACTGAATTTACCATAATTCATTAGGATTGAAAATCTTTGCTTGTTGTGATTTTAAATAAATAAGCAATTAAATGAAGTTTAATTAAGTAAAAAGCCTGTAATTAACTCAATATATGCATCCCAGCTGCAGAGGAAACAAGTTTCCTGCAGTTTCTCTCTCAGCCTAGATACAGATATAAGTTGATATAACAAAAGCTTGTTTGTTCCTATAAAGTAAAAGAACTATAGACTAAACATTCAAAAGGTTTTCTATTATATTGAACTGTTGTTTGCTTCTGTGGTCACTAAACATTTCAACAAATCCTCAAAAAGGAATACCTGCGTTATGATGAGTTCACACAAGATAATTTCTGCTAATTTTGCCTTTCCAACCACCTGGATGCTCCAATTGTCATGATGGCTTTAAAGAAAATTTTAGGAGATATTCCTGCTGTGGGGTGAGTTAAGAGTGATCTAGTCAGCTTGGAAGGATGTTGGAACCACTCCGATCTCACATCAAGGATATTCAACATGTTGGATTTTCACATTTGATCTCGAGAGGTCTCACGAGATTTCCTGTCTGCCATCTGAATGTGTGTGAGTGAAACCTGTTTATGTATGGTGTGCTGTCTTGTACAACACACAATATAGGACCAAACCTGTTATAGCCAGGATTTTTTTTCCTTTTGTGTCATCTCTCAGTCTAAGAAAATTTGAAGACATTTTTAAATTTCGCCGTGTGAACCAAGAATTACCCGTGTTGCTAGAGCCACTCCCCCAGCCTCGGCCAGCCAATCGAGGCGCCCCTCCCGACCAAAAAGAAGGCGACGTTGGCTGCTTTTGACTGGCAAGTCCTGGAGGAGGCCGGGATAACTGGGCCTGGCTGCTGCAACGACTGGCTTTCCAAGACTTGTGTCCAATGGGCTCTGGGGGCCAGCTGGTCTTGTAGTCCGTGTACTTTGCTGGAGAGAGAAAGTGATGAAACAAAGACAGATGTTATAGTAGACCTTAACAATAGATCTGCTGTGAAATTTTAACATACTTCAAGTTTGACTTTTTTAAAAACCCAACAATACTCTGGGACTTCCAAGCTGATTAAATGCAGATGTTTTGATGTATAAAGTGTAAAAGAAATGCAACGATTGAGGGAACAAGATGTGTTTGTGCATTTTAATGTGTTTATTTTTTGTTTTTTATAGGGAGAAGTGAATCAAAAATTGTGACAAAACAAATAATAAAAAATGCTGAATAGTAATAGTGTGCTTCACAGGGATTCTGCAGAAATTACTCAATCTAATTCAATGTCATTTTTAATATTATTTTTATGCCATCCAGAGTCAAAACTGTTACACTAACCCTTTCTCTTAAAAGCTAATAAACCACATGTAATGTCAAAGTAACTTTTAAAATGCCATTTAATGCATTAAATTAAGCAAAAACCATCAAATGACTTGATGGGTTTCAATGTCGTACAGAGACCCTGCTTCACTTCTCGTGCGTTAGACCCCTAATTACAACTCGGCTCACAAAGTTAACTAAATCAAACCCATCGGTTATTTACTGCATTCATTAATGAATTCAAACCTTTAAATGTCAGATGCTATTTGTATAACTGAGTTAAATACAGATATAAAAGCAAAATATTTCATTACATACACTTTGGGAATTACTCAAAATGATTTCCAGAACATATATATGAGTGGAAGCAACAGATCGGAGTCGGTTTCCATGTGTGTAGTCACCTGAGTTGTGTGCATTGCTGAGGGGGCTTTCTGAGGCACTGTAGGGCCAGGCACAGGGTGAAGGCAGCAAGGTGTTCAGGGAAGGGGTGGAATCTGTAAATAAAAAAGGACCAATCATTAATAAGCTTTAATAAAACTAAAACACAGAAAGTAATCTGTGATTCATTGGGCAGAACATGTTTTTTGTACACATATCTCAACAAAAGTATCTTTCCAAAGTTACAAACCAAAAATTTCTTGTTTACAACATGACATAAAATCCGTTAAGATTTTCAATGGTTACACAATAATATAAGGCAATACAATCACAAAGCTGCGCACCAGTATTATCTTGTAACAACTGGTGCTCTGTATCATTGAGACCGGGGGACACTGCATTTCCCATCATGCTCCCTGGGGTCATGTAGGGGTCAGACTCTGGATCAACTCGATCAATTCCCTTCCATGGAACACCAGGCTGGAACTCTGCCGCAGAAACAGTTACTTCATTTAGACTTTCACATAATAAAAATACATTCTCTATTAAAGAGAAGTGGTCAGAGAGTTAAAACATAAAATAATTAATTTGATCGTAATTTAACCCTTCTTGGATTGTATCATAGAGTTGAAGTGTGTATGGAATATATTTGAACTAATGAAGTTCTCAAATAATGCAAGATTAGTTTTATGTCATATCACACAGCTCTTGTTGAAGCCAACATTAAAAAAACTGTCACTAACCAGGAGGCCAGCTTGGTGTGTTGGTAGGTTTGGCACTAATTTTGTTGCCAGGGGTCCGGTGCCAGGTGTCACCTGATCCATCTCCAACCATCATGTCGTAATGGGAAAACTGTGAGCTCCCAGGCATCTTTATGGGGGTTACAGGACCTGGGAGGTCAACAGATAACATTTACTACCAAACATTTGACTTCACATCTCCTCCCAATTAAAACTATCCACCTCAACACAGTGACGTTTCAAAGAGGAAACTAAAACTGACTTCAACACATCTCACCATTTTTGTGGTACAAATTTTCTGGAGAAGAAGTATCGGGAGAACAGTTTCCCTCCATCATCCATTTGAAGCGAGACTGCTGAGCTCCTGAGTCCTTCATGGCTCCCGGCCCCCCAACTATTGAGCCACCAAGATCCAGACCAGTGAGGTTTCCCCCAGAACCAAATCCTGCTCAACGAAAAAAAAAAACAAAAAAACAAAGACATTATTTTAACTTTAATGAAACATAACCAAAACAGTTCAAAATTTCACTTAAAAACAAAACTGTTCCAAACAAATGTAAACACTAAATCTCCACTGTTAAGATGTTTGTATTTTGACTAATGAGGTTCTGACTAGGCATGAAACAGTTCCTGGTTTAAGAGAACAGTACGTTTGTTGTGCACTTGAAGTTAAAGGCCTGGCGTTCCTTTAAAATGTGTGTGACATCAAATTTTTGTAATACATAAGAATGCATTTTTACAAAGAGGACATTGATAAAATATTGCAAAAGAAATTTCATGTCGCTGAGATGAACAGTTGTTGAGATATTTGCCTGTGAAGTAACAGGAAGTGATGTCAAAGGGGAATGTCTGCATGTAAACAGAGCTTTGCTAAAATAGTTAACAACCCAGACTGAAGAGAATAATCTGATGTTTCTTTAGATTAATTTGAGTCACTATCAGAGAGATTAATAAGAAATTGAGTTCAAAAAATATTGCTTCAATAAACAAAGATCAGAGTTTTCTTTGTAAAAGAGTTCCCCTTTGATGTCACTTCCTATTTCACTTTGGCTGAGCCAAGTTCAAAAGAAAATATGCCAGTTATGGGACAAAATGTGTTAAATAGTGTGTATTGTTCCAACTTTCTTAAATATAAAAGATGTTTTCTTTGACTTTATGTATTTGAAGAACATGCATGTCACAGGCACTTTAAAGGAAAGCATATTGCCCACCTCCTTTGACAATTTTTATTCAAGATGATCCACACAACCACATCCCATAAATTACATCAGTGTTCATAGTGTGTGTTGAGGACTGCATCAAAGTTTAGCTCAATATCTGTAAAACTGTCCAAGTTAGTCATTTCTGTGTTTGTCAAGATCCTTTAGCTGTGGCAGCCATCTTGAATGGGAATGACTCCCCAAGTTAATTGTCTGCTTTACTTTCAGCAGCAGGCAATAATGAGTGTGTCAACATTCTATAAAGCAGTCTGGAAATGATCCATTACCAGAGTATGAGCCCAGAGTTTTCTGCTGCATGTCAGCCACTGATCCAGCCAGGCCTGGGTGGGGCAGAGTTTCAGCACTGGGTAGTTTGGGACCCGCTCCGCCTTGGTGGGAGGGGGAGAGTTTGGAGCTGCCACCTAAACCTCCAGCCTGCTGAAACTGCCTCTGCTGCTGGAGGGCTGCCATGATCCTGGCCAACTGAGGTAACAGAAAACATAGTCATGAGCTGGAGAAGGGGACAGTGAAATTATTCCAATAGCATTGTGTGTACGTGTTAGGGGTGTAAGAAAATATCGATACACTGAAATATCGCAATATTTCATTTCCTGATACTGTATCAATATTCTAAAGCCCTGTATCGATTTTTTATTAAGGTTTAAAATGTCAACTTTCCTGCCAGCCGTTCATTTTTATGTTGTAGTTCAGCCTCTGACCACTAGTTGGCAGCAGTGAGCCAGACATTTGGCTCCTCTACGTAGAGGTAGAGGAGCCACACTATTGTTAAGTGTTT